GGTTTTGAAACTTCAAAGCACTTTTATATTCTATTAAAAAGAAGCGGTGATTGTAAAAAAAAAAAAGGTTTTAAATAAAAAAAAAAGAAAAAAATAAAGAAATGAAAGAAAGAACAAAGAGTAAAAAAAAAAAACAAAATAAAGAAAAAAAAGAATAAAAAAATGACTAACAAAAAAAATTAAAAATAGAAAGAAAAATAAACTAAAAGAAAAAGAGAAAGCAAAACCAAAAGAAAGAAAAATGAAAAATGAAAGAAAAATTAAAAAAATTTTAAAGATACGAAAGAACAAAAGGGTAAAAAAAAATGAAAAATACAAAAGATAAAGCAATTAAAGAAACAAAAGAAAGAACGAAGAGTAAAAAAGAAACCAAGATGAAGAACAAATAAAAAAAAATAAAAAAAAGAGTAAAAAAAAGAAAAAATAAAATAAATAAAGAAAAAAGAAAAAAAACAAAAAGAAAGAAAAACAAATAAACGAATAAAAAAATATAAAGAAAAGAAAAAAGAATAAAAGCAAAAAAAATAAATAATAATCAATAGATCAAATTTAAAATAAAAAAAAAGAAGTGATCCTGCTAGTATGATTGGCTACTAAACGTGTAATCTATTTTTGTTATATGACTATTCAAATAAAGGTACATGGCGTTACAACCAGAAATTGTAACAACTATATTTTTGATATTTAGATTATAAATGCATCAAAAATAAATTTTTGGTATCAAAGAATATAGAAGTATAAGTCTGTCACTTTGCTTCAGACAATTGGAAAAAACAAATCTTTTTTTTTTGTTATTTCTTTATCTTTTTCTTTTCTTGTTTGTATATTTTATTATTTTTTTTATATCTTTGCATTTTTTTCTTGTTTTTTTTTATATATTTTTTTAATTTGACTTCTTGACAAAATATACAACTGCTCTAGCTAATGATTAGAAGAATCAAATCTTTAGAAAGTTGAAAATCTAATATAAACCAAATTACTGCTAGATAGTATTATATCTGAACTATAAAGCTAAATAGTTTTTTTTAATTTAGAAATATAGTATAAAAAGTTATATTTACCTGTTAACAATAATTTTCTGGTATTTCTAATAAAATATTAAAGGCAGGACCACCAAATATAAAAAAAAATACACATAGTGCTTAAAAAACTTAACTAGTATATATAATATATATTAATAATATAGTATTATTGTCAAAAATAAATATATATAGTATTCAAAAAACTTAGAAAAAAAAGTTTAAACTAGTGCATATAGTATATATTAATAACAAAGTACTACTACCAAAAATAAAATACAAAATGCAGTATGGTCTACTATTCAAATATTATAACAAAATTTAGAGCTTATTAATTCAAACTATTAAGAATAAAGCAAACATACTCTATTTCAGTATTGTTGCAAACCCAGTCTAGTAATAGTTACTAGAACTAAAAGACTCATTAGAACTGACTGAATAGAACTAAAAAAAATATCAGTTTCAGTAACTTGTTGTCACTAGACTCTTCCAGTCATATTTATTTTACCACTGGATAGAAAGTCTAGTAAGGTTTAGTGGAGTCCAGTAAGATTTAGTAAGATCAGATTCAATAATACTAAAAAACCTTTTTTATAGATCACATAATAACAATAAATTGAATACATGCATATATATTATGAAACATATATTTTAAAAAGATTCAAATAATCTAATATAAGCTAGTTTTAATACAATTATTTTATAAAATAATTAATATTTTAAATAAAGCTTTATTTAAATGCATATTATATAACTTAAATATTGGCACTTGAATAGTATTAATCCATATCTAGTATATTATCATTAGAACTACCTGCATATTGCAGATATACTATAAAATAAAATTATATGAATTACTAATAATGCTTGTCACAAATCATAATAAAATCAGGTTAAAGAATAAAATTTTGAGGTTTCTATTTAATCTAAGAATCGATTGTACTTGTTTATTATAATTTCTATTTTTAAAGCCAACTTATAATTCTATAAAGCTAAAAAAAAACTTTAAAAATTTGTAATTTGTGGTAGCTTGTCTATTTTGTATTATATAAAATTTTATTCTTAATCTGATTTCATTCTAATCTGCGATAATTATTTTAATCAATGAACTCAGATTTCAGTTTTTTGAAATCTTCTACACCAATCATATTCTAATACTCTAACTAAATAGAACCATTAGAGTAAAATCATTAGCATATGAAAGAAAGATATAATAATAAAAACAATATTTACCCTGGATTAGTGCATCTAGAATTTGTAATCATATCTATTATTTTCTGCATATAATTGTACAGATATAAGTAGCTAATTCAATTGTTACAAATTTAAGACAATGTTTTAGTTTAACAATCAATTTTGCAAATACCAAACATGAACAAAAAATTTACGAAGTTTATGAAATTGCAGAATTCTGAACACCTTATTTTGGATAAGTAGATACATCTTAACTAGTCTCATCAATGAGAGACAACAATTAATAGTACTACTAAAGTTTTAAAAATTCTTGATAATAATTAATAACAGATATAAACATACTAAAAATTTTTTTTAAAAAAATTAAATAATATTATCTGAATTTTAGCATATGCAATATGTGAGCTGAATTAAAAAAAAAATTAAACAATATTATTAAGTAGTATTGTTTAGTATTCTTTTTTTAAACTTCAACACCAAAAAAAAAAATATATATAAATAAAATCTAATAAAGATCATTATAGTACTTCAAGACTTTCTAACCGAAATTGTGTATGATTATTATATAAAACTTTTATGCATTTTCTTTATTTTAAATTAAATAATACAAAATATTTTTATTAGCTATATTATTATACAAATTAAGATTAGAAAGAAATTTAATAATACTTATTGTTGTATAAAGCTATGTTGATTATACTGCGATTAAAGATTATATCTTGTACAAATTTATTTATAAAAAAAATAAAATTTTCATTGTGCTTAATAAAAATAACTTTGAATCGCAAGTTCAACCATTATTTTGCCTATAAAATTGAATTAACTTTGTTAATATGATTTTAAAAGTATTATTTGTTGTATAAGATAAATATCACAAAAACACAGGGTTTTGAAAAATATAGATTCACAAATAATATTATCATACTTAGTATGAAAGCTACAAATAAACACAATACATATGATGTGTGCAAAGCTTGTGATAATATGTTTGGTCAGGATAAAGCTCTAAAAATATCACTTACAAATAAAAAAATACTGTTCGAAACTATTTAAAAAAATATAAATATTTTTATACTAAGCTGAGGTTACAAAAGGTGATAGATATATATTGTAACAGGATGGATAATGAAGAAGAACATATTTCTCAAACTTCAAAAAGAAAATGAAATACTGATTTATCTGGTATGTAATTTATATTTAAAAATTAAGATATGGTTGTTAATACTTTTTTTTTTCTAATGAAAAAATATATATAATTTATAAAATGATGATAGTATAAATAACATAACAACTAGCAATAATACTTTACTTTTCACCAAAGCTATTAGCAAAAGCAAAAAAAAAGCTGTCAAATTCTATAACCAACTTTTCAATTAGAACTATTACAGTAAAAAAAAACCAACATTTGAACGGTTATTAATCTGAATGACAATATCAAATAGATAGTTCTTTCAATAAATATTAGACCTAGCTATTTTAGAATTTTTTAAAATTTTAAACCCAAACCTTATTCTTCCCGGTTAGTATTTCTTGTCAAATCATATTCTTAATATTAAAAAAAAAATTTGGACTTGTCCTGTAAACAAAAATTGAATAGTGATAAAATTGGGGTAACTTTGGCGTTTAAGAGGTAAAAAAATATATTAAAATAACATATATTTGGTTTATTATTTATTTTTTAACTGAAAAATCTTTAATTTGAGAAACAATTGATATAAGTTCAGAGAGGGAATGAATGATAGAGATTATTCCAAAAATTGAGTTTATGATTAGTGAAGCTTTTAAAATAGATACTAAATTATTTGCTATTATTTCTGATAGTGCTTCAGTATATGCTGGTGCTAGGTAAGTAAGTAATAATAATAATCTAATCTATTAGAAATTAGCAAAAACAAAGTTTCTGCTTATTCACATATAGTTAGGATATTATTAATTAATTCTTTTGTGATCTTGATATAGTAATCAAAGGATTATACAAATAATAAATTAACTATTTCATTAATAAAAAAATATAATAATATTAATAATAATAATACTAAAAATAAAAATAAAAAAAACCAATATTTTAAATAGGTGTCAGTTACGACTAAAATATCTAAGAATTGTTTTTCTTCCTTGCTTCACTTACCAATATAACCTAGTAGCAGAAAAGATTTTTAAAGAGTCTAATGAATTCAAAACAGTATCTAAACAGACTCTAACAATCGTTGCTTATTTTAATAATATTTTATATTCTTATTTTTTTGAAAAACTTCAAGATATACAAAAGCAAATTTATAAAAAATATATTACTTTGATTTGTCTAGCAGATACTTGTTAGAATTCTTATACTTATTGTTTCAAGAGTTTAATAAAATCTCACCAAGCTCTAAGAGTAAATATTATTTGCCAAAACGTACCTAGTAAATTGTTTTTTTTTTGAATATTAATGGTGATACCATGTCTTGTCTCTGACTTTATTAAAATTTGATTTAATTCTTTTACAGTGAAAAAAAAATACTTACAAAGAAAAGAATCTATTTAAATTTTATATCCTAAGATAGCAAAAAAAGAAATTTAGACTAATTTATTTGCAGCCTAAACCAATACCTAGTAAATTGTCTTTTATGGAGTTAATTCTAAATTATATTAATATTGTGAAAATAATATAATTAGAAAATTAAGTTGATTTACTAAAAGTATTATAGTTTGCAAAAATACTTTTGGTAAAATAAAATAAAAATTAGTCAAAATTTTTAGATCCTTGGCTTATAAATAGTCTGGTTAATAAATGTTAAGATGATGCTAAAATCAGATAATACTAAAATTTAGAGTTTTGATTTAAAAATATAAATTCTACTAAAATATCTATATACAAAAATTTAAATTTTCATAATAAAATAAATCAAAATTCTAACATTATCTGATTTTAGTATTATTTCTGATATAAATAATATCTTTAATAATATTAATTAAATATTAATTAATTTGTTTTAAAGAACTTAGCTACTGTATATAAATTATCATTAGATATTTTGACTTATAAAGAATTAGATTAATTGTCAATTTATTTAAATGAGTTTTATTTATCATATAATATATCATTAATTTTGCTTAGTGATAGTTTTTAGCAATCAATAAAACTATTATATCCACTACTTTTTCCTTATTGTGAGATTCTAAATAAGTTACAATCAGACACTACTCATCTTCATAAAGTATTACAGGTTTTTTGAAATCTTAAAAATGTGAGAAGAATATGATAACAAAAACTTATTATACCATATGATTTTATGGTTAAAGCAAAGGTGAAAACAATAGGAACAACCATTGTTATATTGGCTTTTCTTTTGAATCTAAATATTCACGATATATGGTTCAATACAAATAATGAAAATTTAAATTTTACTTATTTTGCTTAGTTTATTACTTATTATTATAAAACATAGTTTGAATATCTATCAACTTGTATTCTACTTGAATTTAAAGAATATAAAAAATATAAATACCCATTTGATCACCTAATATTCGAACAATTTAAAGATATGTTAAAATTTTGAAAATTCACCTCCTCATTAACTAAAGAATTAGATCTCTTAACTATTTGATTATTTGAGATTTGTGTTAATACAGCATTTGTTGAATGATTATAGAGTTTAATAGGATTTATTTATACTAACCGACAAAATCATTTTAAGATATGTAAGAATTATTATCAATTTAATATACAGCTAAAATCTACAAATCTTATTTGCAAGTTTTAGCTATATGACACTTATTTGATTTTTTTTTTAAAAAAAAAATTTAATTTTTTAAATTATAGAATGAAAAAATATTGACTATGAACCAAATTCATGCTTCAATTAACTTTTTTTAACAAAAAAAACAAAATAAATCTTACAATATTTCATCTAATTAAACAATTAAATCAATCTATTCACAAGAACTATTTGAACCAAGTGAATTAAATGATTTAACTAAACTGGGTGAAGATGATTCAGAATATGCTGAACAGAGTAAATCAAATATAGTTATATCTGATAATTGGAAAATCCAACTTGATGATTGGGAACAAATATTGGAGAACAAGAAAGCTACAAGAATAGAAAAAGAAGAGGTAGAGCATGAGAATAATGATTGTAACATAAATAGTGATTTATTAAGTAAATACAAACATCCAGTGGTAGATCCTAAAACTAAATGAGAGTTGAATAAACTATTTGGTCTGTTATTCACAGCACCAAACTATATGAATGTAGTAAATTAGATTTATAAATACTAAAATAAATTAGTTTTAGTTGAACGTAACCATATTTTTGTTCATTGAACTACGAAATAAATTTCAACAAGTAAAAAGTAAACTGTGAATAAAAATCGAAACATAAAAAATGTTATTGTCTAATTGGCTGATGATTAATATCACGTGATTGTTCATTCGAATTTTTATTGGCTATCATAATATCTGTTCCAGTGGAATAATCGATCCAGTGAAAATTGTCACTGGACCACTGGAATATTGGAAAAGTCTGGACGTCCAGTGGGGTTCCAGCTTCCAGTCAACAACACTGCCCTATACAATACCAAATACTGTCATGACATATAAAAACTTAGTTGGATTAAAAACCATTTGGCAAAATCAAATTGCATATTACCCTGTAATAGTACTAGATAATGTTTCTAAGTAAGAAGGCAGATTCTTTTAGATTCTTTTGCATGATAAATATTAACGTTCATCTAAAGCTAAGAATAACTTTTACGGCGATTTTTTATTAGTGAAACGTTACGTACTCAAAAAGTATCTAAAGTGTATAAATAAGTTGCTCAGTTAATTGATTTATTCTAATTTATTCTAGCAAATCAGACAAAAGTCCTATGATATATAGATATACAGTAGTTCAAACCTCTTTATACTTCTCAATTAAATGAGATCTATAAACTTGAGTGAATTAAACGCATCGATTAATAAATCAACAAAAAATAAAACAAAAGTATTGCCCAATGGTAGGTTTACATCCGGTCTCCGATCCTTAGAGCGCGCATTTAGAAAGGTTAAACTGTTTCGGCAAATGTTTAGAAATTAGTATTACATAGCATATATTTTTTAAATATGTAAGGAGCTTGGACACGCGTGGATTCGATGGGACAAGAAAAAATTTCTTAGGCACTAACATAGTCTTCTATCAATTTATCCGCAGAAAATACTGTAACATTTGCGTTTCGATATATATATCACGTGCTTTATTCAACAGGATTCTAAGATAACTTTATTGTGGAGTGCAGAATGCAACTTTCTGTTTACAACTATATATATTTTTTTGAAAGAGTATAGGTTCACATGTTACTTTTTGAACCTTAGAATGATGTCATAATAGGATTTTTTCAGTACTTTATCAGAAATAGGGGCAGCCGGTTTAAGCCTTCATTTTGCAATTGTATTTCAAATTCGCCCTTTGGTAATGTTAGCGAGAGCGCATAGTCAACACTGTCACATGTGCACTAGTAACAATAACATAATATTACCATTTAAAACATCTTAGTTACCCGGGATTCCTTTACAGTTATTTATAATTACAACCTGCATAATTCAGTAACATATATACGTAGTTGTGAATTTAAGTCCCTTTAGTAAATATTACTAATAAACGTAGTATTAGCAAGGGCATGCACAAATAAAAATTCACGTACGTACGTACGTACGTATACACAAAAGTTTGATCGGCAAACATTGGATCGATAAGAAATTGTTGAACTTAGAATGGAAGGCAAGAATGATCAGAATAACAAAGAACAAGCAATTCTCAAGTACAAACAATTCATTTCTTGACTACTTTAATGCCAAAAGAAAGAACAGATCACTATGCCTGAAATAGATAAATATGTACTGTACGTACGTACGTACGTATGAACAAGTATACGTAGCATATAATTAATTTGCTCATTTTCTACTACAGTATTGTAGATCATGCTACACTAACCCGTTAGGAGAACCTTATCAACGAATGTCATAAGTTTACCGCTCATAAAATTTCATACAATTACTGAATTATAGAGAGACATATCTAAATGCATTCTCTAAATGCATTCTCATATAAATGCACGAACCATATAAATTCTTTTCAATCGATCTTAAGTAGCGGTATACACCGCATGACGAGAATGCGCCTTTATGAATGCGCCTTTTGTTCTACGATGATGAGTGTTTCACGTGATAAAGAAACAGGTTATCCACTAGTTTCATATCTATTTATAGCGTAAGGATTCAAGGGGTTGCAAGAAATTTGACTAAAAAAGGTCCAGGAAAATTTCCTGTTACAATAACAAATCTACAAATAGATTCTAGCCTTAAGTATTCTTTTACACATGGTAATAACCTTTCTTAAGTTAGGTTTATAATCGACTTTTCGAATGCGATCTGCATGCATCATGTCAATAAGTGAACTCAACCGGTCAGCCGGTCAAGTTAAAGGATTAATTTGTAACTACCCTGAGAATTTAAAAAAAATTCAAGCCACTTAGTTCAAACGAGCTTTCGTCGATAGCTTCGCAACATCAAATTTTTTGTGAATCAAGAGAAATATAGAAAGACTAGACTGAACGCAACAATGATACTAATTATGCTAAATATGCTAATTTCAATATTGATAGATTCATCTCATTCATCTTATTGGTAGTTATGGTAATTATTATTTAATTAAAAACATAAGATCAGTTTACATACATGATTTAATGATGAAGTAGCGGCTTTATACGTACGTATTACGCAAAGTGAAAATTGATAAAACTTACATACTGCAGGCATTAGAATTGTTTAATATATGTAAAATACGTAAATTTTGTTTATTATATTATTATTAAGTGACTAATTAATAACCGATGGCTTTTTCAGAAAAGTATTGTGTGACAAAATATATACTGTAGATACAACTTAAAAAAAAAAAAAAAAACATATAAATAAATCATTAGTGGCTCTCGAAAAAACTTTAATGCCATTATGAACAAATAAAAATTCAACTATCGCACTTGTAAAATTTTCTTTACAAACACGACATTAATGAATATTTTGGCACAACATATACTTGAAACAATTCTACTCTTACTTATTTTATACAGAAAGATTTTCAATAATTAAACTACTGTTTGCAAATATTTGTACAAAGATATAATACATTGTTCAGTGTTTTTTTTGTCTGCATTTTGGTTTCCCTCGATTATTTATTCTCTTGGAGATATATCAAAGTTTTCTTGTAACGGACCATTACAAGAATTCATATATTTTGACAAACTTTTAAATTAAAGGTTTGCTGGCAAGCCTTTTCTTAACGACATTTGATATATCGACCCTTGGGACAATTCCAAAGAGTATACAACGAATATTCTCGTAAATTTTAGTTACAACCGATAGAAAAATGAATGTTTCATTTACGGAACGTTTAATGGAATTAAACAATGCTCGTGAAAGGTCACTTATCTCGGAGGAAGAGTACTGCATGTTAAGGTTGAAGATATTTGATGCCTTTACATCAACATCGACCACTTCAAGTGTGTCATTCGTATCCCCACAAACTCAATATCCCCAACCTCAACAACAACCTCTTTCGCCTCCTAATGACAAATCGCAGCAACAACATGTAACTTTCAGTCAACAAACCTTTAATTCTTCTCCAGCAAAGCCACTTTCAGGTAAAGCGAAGATACCAGCGGCGCAATCAGTCCATTCTTCAAATGGCTCTCTATCACCTACCCAACAATCTCCACAATCTCCACGATTACTTTCACGTCAAATTAACGATACCATTAGTAATAACATCATGAATGACTCTTCAACACCAGAAAACATAATAGGAACTAATTCAGTTTCACCTACTAATCAGATATACATTCCTAAAAGAACACGTTCAAGTTTGGCTTCCCATGCTCTTCAGGAAACCAATATTAATAGTAATGAAGAATTATCTGTAAAGACAACACGAGGATTATCGACGCTTTCAGAATCTCAACACACGACTAATACAAGTGCTAATACAAGTGCTAATACAAGTGCTAATACAAGTTCTAATACAAGTGCTAGTATAAAATCACCATCATCTCCACCACCCTCAATGTCAAGTTCAATTCCTATTTTAAAGACAACAATACGTGATTCTTCTGCATCGAAAAAGAATCTTTCTATGAATCGTTCTACTCCAATGGCTTATATTAATCCTGATCCTACTTCTTTATATAATAGCACTAACAATCATAATATAACTACCAATAACGAATTGAACAATGGTGAGATTAATATTAAAAATGAAGAAAATCACCTTACTAACGGAAGAATTACGAGCTATGATAACATGAATGTTATGAGGCACAACGATGAAAATGTAAATACTAACAACAATGATGATAATGGTGTGAACCATACTAGCATTAACAGTGGCGTAATGTGCCACACTAGCATAAACAATGGTGTAATGAATCAGAATGATGAAAGAACTGAGATGATTCAAACAAGTGTGAATAGGATGAATTTCATGAATAATATGAATGGAAATAGTGATGACGACGATGATCGACTAGTTTCGTCGCTTCAACCTTTTTCCCAGTCTCAATCTTCACCTCTACCACAACAAAGACAAAATATAAATCCCGCTACTTTATCTGCAAGGCAAATTAGATCCCGTAGTCTTGGTCCTAGTTCAGTTCTATCTTCAGATAGCGATACAAATAACAATAATAATAACAATAACAATAACAATAACAATAATAATAATGACATTGATAATAATAATGGATCTTCGAATTCAAATAGTTTTACCAATAGACTCAGAAATAGAAATAGTCATGGAAACCTCAATACAAGACGTTCATTGAATTTTGGAGAAGTTATGAACTCACTAAATCGTGGCGGTGATCTTGTTGAAACAGGTAAACGTAGTAACATACTTAAATTTAAGCTATTCAAAAAATCGTCTAAAAAATGATAAGGTGAAGGATTTCGGATGGTGGAATTTTAAAATGTAAGCAATTTTGAGCGATTTGTAGTTGATAAAGTTTATCGTGATTTTTCTTTTAGAGTGGAATACATATCTGGATTATATTGGGAATATTTTATTCATATGTCAAATATACACACATAAATATATATATATACTTTTTTTGGTTTTTTTTTTTAAAAAAAAAACCATATTAATACATTTATTTTATTTGCATAAAAAATAATATTTAAATAATTTGTCATTTCATTTGCTATATAGATCAGTATGAGCAATCTGTACCAGAAGTTCCACCACCACCTTACTCACCACCGGAATCATCTCGTAAGTCTTTCTTTTTTATTTTTTTTGAAAAAAAAAAAATCGTGGCTCTTTTTTTAACATTGTTTTTTTTTTAAACAAAAGTCCGATTCCATCGTCGTCGTTCGTCAACTCCATTCTTTCTAAGACCAAAAACTTCAGCCGAACTTCGTAAAGAACTTTTGAAATTAACCGAAGAATCGAAGAAAGAACAAGATAGTTGGAGAATCGAGGAAGCTAGGTTAAGAATGCGAATAAATTCTAAGCCTGAAGAAATTGAACGGGTTAAAAGGAAAATGAGAGAATCAAATGAGAAATACCGGAAAAAAATTGAAGCTGTAACTGCAAAATTGAGGCAGTTGAGTTTTAATAACATGGATGGGAATTAAATGATAAAACGATGCAGCATACTATAAAATTGATTGTACATATGTAGCAGAATAGTATGAATAATCATTATTTATTTATTTGTTTTTGTCATTTGATACATTGTTTTTTAATCAGTTTTTTAATTCGTTTGTTCATTATATATATAATATATATATTGCAAATATGATAAAGATTATCAATTATGTAAAAACGGTTTGAAAAAAATGCCTATATATTTCGATTCCTATATTGATGAAATTTTGCCTTATTTAGAAATAAATGATAAACTACAGTTATATCCTCAAATCAATCGATCAAATAAACAAATAAGATTCACAGACAAGATTCCTACATACAGCGACAATCGCTCAAAAATGCTCTTCGTTCAAAATTGCAGTGCCAAATCACGCTAAAACCATTTAATTTATGGATATGTGTGTTATTGCGGTGGTATCTTCAATGGTATCTTCAATTTGTAGCTGATACACCTGATGAGGGATTTGATTTTTCTAACGCGTTGGAGTTTAACGCTTCATTCATTTCATCAAACGCCGCAAAATGTCGTTGTTGTAATATTTTTATATCTTCAAAAACTAATAAAATGTAATGTAATATATATATAAATAAACGTTATTATATACATAGTATATACTATATAATATTATATTACTAGTTATATTACTAGTTATATTACTATATAGCTATATTACTAGTTATATTACCAGTTATATTACTATATAACTATATTATTATATAGTTACTAGTATATTACTAGTTATATTACTATATAGTTATATTACTAGTTAGATTACTATATAGTTAGATTACTAGTTAGGTTACTAGTTATATTACTAGTTATTAGATTGCTAGTCAATCGATTTACCTTTGTCAGCATAGAACGTATCCTTTAAATAGACTTTTTGAAGAAAATCAACCATAGCACCTGTACTTACTGCACATTCTTCAAGCGGTAATGTATCATAGTATGAATGATTTATTTCAAATGGATTTTCTGGTGGTGGTGATAGACTCAATGTTATTACTTCTGCAATTATTTCCCATAACTTTATATCTGCATTAAAAAATTTTAAATAAATGATATGTTTATAAAGAAATGAACTAGTAAATATATATCTATTTTTTTATTTTTATTTTATGCACCTTGAGTTTTCCACGCTGCTATAGTATCGAGTTTTAAGGGATTATCGGTTTCCAATTTTTGATCGTCTTGAAGTTGGATTAATCGTTTATGGTTCGATCTCAACTTTTAAATTAATTGAAATTTTATTAATATTTATTTTTTTTTACAAACTATTTACCACTCTACTACTTACCCAAACATATGGACATTTATATCTTGCATATCCAGCTATTAGGAAAACATGATTTGCTTCATCCTATGGATAAGAGACTTTATTACATTATGTAAAAGTTATATCATTTATATTATTGTTTTTGACTTACTTTTTCCAATTCTTCGTCTAAAGGACTCGATGGTGGCAATGTCATTTCCAAAAAATCAGATCCGTTACTAAGTCTATTTTTAAGAGTCCATTTATGAAACCTTTATTGATTTTATAATATAAATGAGAGTATTATGAAGCCTTACGTTCGTCGTGTTTTCGGTGAAAATAATGCATTACTCCTACATAAATAGTTTTTAAAATCCATGTAAATCATCAATTAACATAAAGATCAGATAACTTACTGAAATTTTGCAAGCGATAAAGAGTTATATTTCAGTCTACTGCTTTCTTCAGTCGAATTTCGTCTTTGGTCATCAATGTAAACACGTAATAACAACTCCTCCCGACCTCTCAAATATACTTCAAAATGCCTAAACCCCTTTTTACATCATTATTTTGATTTATAAATTACAAAATGTTCTAATGTTATTATTGAACGAATAAAAATGCTTGTTTTTTTCCTTACCTTTAAACACCCGACAGAAAGGCTGTCGGCCAAAAAAGCTGACAGTCGAAGAGTCTCAGACCTCCCACCTATTTGCTCTTTTTGGTTTGCAAGCATTGAAGAATAAAAGATATTGAAATCGCATATCGAGTATCAGGAATAATTTCAAGATAAAAATACTATCAACACGTTTTTGGATAGATCTGTATAATAATGCATAAATTTTTTTTTTCGATAAATATATTATACGTAATAAATAAATAAATAAATAATACATGTAATGAATAATAAATTAATGAAATATCGGAAATGAAAGCATTTCTATTGTTCAGTTACGTAACGGTAAGCACAGAAGTACGGATCAAACTTTAAAAATGAGAAGTTGTACTACGATTAATCATCAATGACTTAATAATTCTATAATACATTGTCGAATATAGACATCAATAAGTAGATTATTTATTATCGATAAGTAGATTATTATTACGTATTAGATAATATAACGATAAGCTTATATACAGTCATTATTATAGCATTATGACAAGATTTCATTATTATTGTTATTAAATGTTCAAGTACAGTATTCCAAAATACCTGAAAGTTGTACAGGTGAATTGTAATTCGGACCAAGGTTTATAATAGAAATGAAAATGGGCATAATTTTATATAGAATTTATCGACAAAATTTGGCGCCCTGATCGACTAACCAGGGTGCTTCTTTGAATGTTATATAAAACTACCTTTTTTCTGAATAAGGGTCTTTTAATTATTGCCTTACTCGAAATAGTGAAACTCTAATCATTTAGTTGGCTAAGCAACTAATCGATTAATCGATTAACCGTATTAATCGATTATTGCGGTTTGCAAAAAATTATGTGAAATCTGAAAAAAAGTAAACATTTTTTTTGATTTTTAGACTAGGCAAAATTTGCGCATTTATCATTTGTAAAAATTTGATTGGATAGTTTAATGCGCAACATCTATTTTTGCAAATATATTACAAAATGATGAATATGCAACTTTTATTTCTATAAAATTTTTACAAAATAATAGATACGCAAATTTTGTCTAATCTAAAGGTCAAAAAAAATGAAAGAAATCGGAAATAATTAGTGATCACTTTTTTTTTAGGGAATTGCTATTTTCACCCCTATTTTTGCTAATGCCACCTCTCAGATATAAAAAAATACTCTGAAATAAATATTCTTATTAAGTAAACCTTTCTTTTAATTTTAATAAAAGTTCATCAGGTCTTTCCAGTTCTAATGGTAGTAAAATCATTATACTCGGACCAGTAGATTCTAAGATATTTATATCTGAAGTTAGTTAACTTATATTTACTTTTAAAAAATAACTATCAGGTTAATTTTAATAATTTTACTATCAATAAAACCAGAAAGTCTTGATGAACAATTTTAATTAAGATCAAAAAGAATTTTTTTAATAACAATATCTCTTCTAAAGCATTTTTTAAATTTTAGAACAATTTTTTTTTAAAGATTAAATTTTGCAAATTGCAATAATTATTAATCTATTAATTGATTAATTAATTAATTGATTAGTTGTTTTATATATATTAATTAATTTTTTAATATAGATTTATATATATTTTAATATAAAAATTACTATAATTTATAGGCTGCAAAATTTATACTCTTATTTCAAAAAAAAATTATTTAAATTAGGGTTAGGTTAAGATCAGTGATGCATAAATTTAAATTTGCATATATATTAGTATTTTTCAAATATATAAAGCATATATAGATTTTTTTTATATGTATTTTTGTTGTATTTGTGTTAATAAAAATTTTTTAAATTTATAACACTGGTTAAGATTATAATAAATAATAAATTTTATAGCAAAATTTAACAAGAAATTTTTTACTTATAATATCAAAGGTAGTTTTATAAGCTAAATTTTGTGTTATAAATAATTTTTTAATTTTTTTATAAAAAAAATTTATTTTTGTTATACAAAGAAAATTTGTAGATCATACTAATTCTGCAAGTTAGGGTATAGCGACTTAGTGAAGTGGTTAAGTTGTTATACCTCCAAGCAAATGTTGACAAGATAGAAGTTCAAAACCCACTGGTGACAAATTTCAAATATTCTACTTGTATGACAGCTACTGTCTTTCATTGATCGGTTGGAATAGAATCTCTGTAACTTTGGTAATACCAACAAGATTGAGAGATCATGGACATTCATGCAATGTATAAGTTACATAAAGGCATGCAAGCCGGTTCTAGACGGTGCAAACCCAAGATAAGTCTTTATAATTATATAAATCTAAGAAACTGGAAAAATAGATACTGTTTGGCAAAACTTGAGTAGAGAGGTAGCACAAATCTTTGACGATAACTACCGGAGCAGCTTCATCCAAGGCCAGTTAACCAGACAAGGCAAGAGTATTGGCAAGTTACTCTACCAACCAGGCCACCAAGAATATAGTTTATCCATATTCTGAAGGAAAAGGTTTGACTTGTTAAGGTAGTCGAGACTATAGGACTGGGGTGATCCTTCTAGGCCATTTGGATTGGAAGTCTGGAGAGACGGGCTAGGGGATATAGATAGGTAAGGTTCTGAATATTGAAAAGTCTTGATAGAAAGGTATTGGGATTTAGATGAACTCTACAAGAGCAAAGGATCAAAGACTAG